GCAGTGGAAGGAGGGGGTGATGTAGGAGGGGATGACTCACTAATATCATTGCGCTCGTATGTCACTGAGTCAACAGAGCACAGCCACACAGAGGAACTCACACAGTGACTGAATGAAGACACTAAGTCTCTTCCTGTTGGAAACATATGGATAGGACTGTCATATACACAACAAGCCACTCTTGCTTCTTTTTCTCTCTTTCCATACCTTTCATCCCTTTCCAGTGATCATTATATTTACTGTAAACTCCTGACTACCTTGGTACAGTGGGTATGGAAAGTATTCAGACCCCCTTAAATTTTTCACTCTTTGTTATATTGCAGCCATATGCTAAAATCATTTAAGTTCATTTTTTCCTCATTAATGTACACACAGCACCCCATATTGACAGAAAAACACAGAATTTTTGACATTTTTGCAGATTTATTAAAAAAGAAAAACTGAAATATCACATGGTCATAAGTATTCAGACCCTTTGCTGTGACACTCATATATTTAACTTAGGTGCTGTCCATTTCTTCTGATCATCCCTGAGATGGTTCTACACCTTCATTTGAGTCCAGCTGTGTTTGATTATACTGATTGGACGTGATTAGGAAAGCCACACACCTGTCTATATAAGACCCTTCAGCTCACAGTGCATGTCAGAGCAAATGAGAATCATGAGGTCACAGGAACTGCCTGAAGAGCTCAGAGACAGAATTGTGGCAAGGCACAGATCTGGCCAAGGTTACAAAAAACTTTCTGCTGCACTTAAGGTTCCTAAGAGCACAGTGGCCTCCATAATCCTTAAATGGAAGATGTTTGGGACGCTCAGAACCCTTCCTAGAGCTGGCCGTCTGGCCAAACTGAGCTATCGGGGGAGAAGAGCCTTGGTGAGAGAGGTACAGAAGAACCCAAAGATGACTGTGGCTGAGCTCCAGAGATGCAGTCGGGAGATGGGAGAAAGTTGTAGAAAGTCAACCATCACTGCAGCCCTCCACCAGTCAGGGCTTTATGGCAGAGGGTCCCGACGGAAGCCTGTCCTCAGTGCAAGACACATGAAAGCCTGCATGGAGTTTGCTAAAAAACACCTGACGGACTCCAAGGTGGTGAGAAATAAGATTCTCTGGTCTGATGAGATCAAGATAGAACTTTTTGGCCTTAATTCTAAGTGGTATGTGTGGAGAAAACCAGGCACTGCTCATCACCTGTCCAATACGGTCCCAACAGTGAAGCATGGTGGTGGCAGCATCATGCTATGGGGGTGTTTTTCAGCTGCAGGGACAGGACGACTGGTTGCAATCGAGGGAAGGATGAATGCGGCCAAGTACAGGGATATCCTGGACGAAAACCTTCTCCAGAGTGCTCAGGACCTCAGACTGGGCCGAAGGTTCACCTTCCAACAAGACAATGACCCTAAGCACACAGCTAAAATAACGAAGGAGTGGCTTCACAACAACTCCGGGTCTGTTCTTGAATGGACCAGACAGAGCCCTGACTTAAACCCAATTTAGCATCTCTGGAGAGACCTGAAAATGGCTGTCCACCAACGTTTACCATCCAACCTGACAGAACTGGAGAGGATCTGCAAGGAGGAATGGCAGAGGATCCCCAAATGCAGGTGTGAAAAACTTGTTGCATCATTCCCAAAAAGACTCATGGCTGTATTAGCTCAAAAGGGTGCTTCTACTAAATACTGAGCAAAGGGTCTGAATACTTATGACCATGTGATATTTCAGTTTTTCTTTTTTAATATGGCTGCAATATAACAAAGAGTGAAAAATTTAAGGGGGTCTGAATACTTTCCGTACCCACTGTAAGTCTGTTCTGCAATGTGTTAGTGAATTCTTCAACTGTTGACCTGTACTAATAAAACTTCATGACCTACTTCTGGTGGAAACACTCATCCAAAGACCTGTTACAGTAGTGTGAGTGTAAACATTTCTGGACTGAGTGCTGATCAAACTTACAGTAAGACTGAGCACTGAGGCTACAGGTATTTATGAGGATACACTTAGTCTGTGCCTAACTATATCCATTGGCGAGTGGGCATATTGTCTTTAGTAATGTGTCAGGGGTGTACTGAAGAAACAGTGTGAGACGCTCCAAACCTGTTTACGTTAAACTGCTGAGTGGTATTCCTTTTGTGGCTCACCAGGAGATTGTGCAAACCAAGGTCATGAACACAGACACATACTGTATACGCAGCGTGTACTTTATCCCATGTGACAGATATAGCATCTCTCTCTTCAGAAGGTCATGGAGACTAAGATCCTGTGGAACTTCCAGATCTAAACAGACAGAAAGGTACTTGCCAACCAACCAGACATCGTGGTAGTAGACAAGGAACAGAGGGAGGTAGCGTTGATAGACATAGCAGTTTCAAGTGACAGCAACATCAAGGAGTATGAGAATCTAGAGAAGTAACAGGGCCTGAAAGAGGAACTGGAGAGAATGTGGAAAGTGAAGGCCAAAGTGGTCCCATTGGTGCTAGGAGCACTTGGAGTTGTGACTCCTAAAATGATAGAGTAGCTCCAACAGATCCCAGGAACAATAATAGAGCTCTTTGTCCAAATGAGTGCAGTGCTAAGTACAGCTAAAATACTGCCCAGAACCCTCAAGCTCCCAGGCCTCTGGTGTGTGTGTAAAACAGATACTGATATTTGTTCTTGATATACTATAATATATTCTATATTAGCTGAATGTTGTATTTCATGTTTATAGTATTCATGGAGGTGCTTTTTTTTTCCATTGAGGTGCCTCAACTCTAAACATTGTGGATAAGGATAATCACCTTTATTGGCCAAGTATGTTACACACAAGGAATTTGTTTCCGGTACAGAACCGAGGCAGCCATCTGCTGCGCCAGCTCAACTGATAGCTCTAACCATCAGGGGCAACTTGCGGATTCAGTGTTTTGCCCAAGGACACTTCAACACCTGCACTGCAAGCACCGAGATTCGAACCTCCGGTTGGGAGACAACTGCTCTACCTACCCAAACCACAGTCGCCATATAAAAATGGTATATGTAATTTTCAGAATCGGCTTTACTGGCCAGGAGGAATTTGACTCAGCTACAGCAGGCCTCAGTGTTCATGTGCAATGTAATCATATAACGGGCATGGTATCACACTTAATATCAAGCATGAAACTGGATTCGAAACCCACTCCCCCCCAGTTTATTTTACTAACTGAGCCATGCCTCCAATTCTACATTGCAATATTGATACATATTGTATATTTTGATACAGTAAATTTTCTGGAAACTCAAATGGTTATTTGTTAATATATAAAATAGCCAGGCAGAAATGTTAATGTTTTGGTAGTGAATTCAATACCTGACATCAGTCAGTAAATGTTAAAATCCAATATTGCTATAAATCAGTCTTGGTCATTGATTAGCAATATTTGCAACAACTGCCTCTATTCCCAGAGTTATACTAAAGGTCTACTAATGTGATTTAGTGTTGCTTTTCCATAAATGCGGGGACTCATCCCAAGAGACAGAATCAACACTGCAGAGGCTGAGATATCCTGACTTGATTCCTCAGTGTGGCAGTTTCCAAAAGCAAGTGAAATATAAAGTTTGCAAATCATTCTTAATGTTTGTCTCAGCTTGTTTGGAGCACCAGATGGTTTGCATCCATAATTGATTTATCGCATCAGGAAGTTCAGATAGTGTCAGGTAAGCTGTCAGTCACAGGAAGGTTGCATAATTGACTGTGTTGTTAAAACACTCAATCATTGAGAATCCACATTCTGAATTCTGGCAGTATAATAAAATTTTTTACAAAGCCTCTAAAAATGGTCAAACATCCTGGCTTCAGCGTGTGAAATGCTATACTTACTGTATTTGGAAGTAAGAGGATGAACAACTCATAAATCTTTGAATTAAATCCACTTGACCCACTCCACTGAGGCATAGTTGAGTCATCTAGAGTGTGAGCACAGGTCTGAAGAGTTGTAGGCTGTTTTCATTTCCATTGTCTGCTGTAATCTCATATAAAGTCAGTATATCTTAAATTCATTACACCTGCCTGACTGATCTACTGCTATTTGGAGAATCCTTTGACATTTGGATAACTATTACTCATAATCCATTTGCGTGAGAAAGACAAGTGTCTGGGGCTATAGCAGTGTGATCAAATTGTACTGTGCTAAGTGTGTTTGGCACAAAATGGAAATTGCTGAAAGCATCAGAATGACAGTCATGCCAGTTCTTGGCTGTCCCATTGCAACTGGCTCTGCCACAGTTAGATGTTGTATCCAATTAGCTTTGATTTCAGGAATGGGGACAAAGAATTTTCAAAATAAGAATGAGATTGATTGAGTTGGTCCGGTTGAGTCGCGATTGTGTTTACTGGAGATCAATTGATTCGTTATTTCTTCAAGCTAGCAGCAGAAAACCATGTGCCATCAGAATTAAAAAGTGAGATAGGTCGTGAATATTCATATGTGTGCAAGTCAGACACTCTGTCAAAATGGTTTATCTTTGGTGAGGACAAGGGAGATCTTGATCTGGTGCACAAAGGGCAGTCCTAAGTCTGTGAATTAGCCATTTACACCACACAAACATCCAAGATGGTAGTGTCTGGTTTTTAGCGTCTTGTCTGGAAATGTACACTAATTCCTCATTATCTCTGTCAGGATGGGAGAGAACATAACTTTCATGTGATGATCTTTACATTCTTTTCATTCTTCTTAACTCAGTTCCAAGTGCCTTTTTAAAAATATCTCTAACAATAGTCCATATCATTAACATAAGACGACTAAAGAGCTTTCTAAGCACAGTACATGTTTAGCTCTCCTGTCTCCAGTGAGAACTAAAAATCTGTCTACATTTGGAGCTCACTTTTTATATCTTTTAATAATTTATGAATAATAAATTCTCAGATGTTAAGAAAAAGAAATTAATCATATCTGCTCAATGTTTCTTTTATATCCCTCCATTCTGACCTCTTATCCTCTGAGGATCCCAAATGCCAGTGTTAATCTTTTTTGTCCAATCCTCTTCCAGGAGGACTACGACCGTCTCAGGCCACTGTCGTACCCCATGACTGATGTCTTCCTCATATGCTTCTCGGTGGTAAATCCTGCCAGTTTCCAGAATGTGCGCGAGGAATGGGTGCCTGAGTTGCAGGAGTATGCACCCAGTGTCCCTTACCTGCTCATTGGCACCCAGGTTAGTCTCAAAACACTGGTAATACCACAGGGGTTCATACTCAGCTTACAATTGCTGCTCCAAAGCCATATCAGGTATATGTCTGTCAGAATCTGTCAACATCTCTATCTGCAATTTCACATCCCCATTTTGGGCACAAATTTCACATTCAGCCTGCAAAAGAGCTTTTACACTCTAAAGCACAGTTTTACACTCTTAAAGCACAAGTAAAAAGCTCAAAGTACAAAAGCTGATTTAAGGAGGTAATCAAAATCTGAAACAGGCCTGCCTATCAAAGAGTATATAGAAAAAAAATGACACCTGGATTTATGTTTTAAAAAGCTGCCAAACAACGGCTTCATTTTGTAGGTGAATCATAATAGGTCATCAGCATTTGGAACATTTGTATGCTGGGTTTCTCTTGTCCTCGTGTTTCTCAATTTGACCATTTAGTTTTATTTAGTACTGTATGAACATTCACTTACAGAGATCCATCCATCATCTATACCACTTATTCCTGAATAGGGTCACGGGTGGGCTGGAGCCTATCCCAGGTGACAATGGTTGAGAGGCGGGGTACACCTTGGACAGGTCACCAGTCTATCACAGAGCTAACATGTAGACAAACAACCACACACACTCACTCACTCCTAGGGTCAATTTAGAGTCACCAATCAACCTGAGCTGCATGTCTTGTGATGCAACTAAATTCATATAGATGACCAACTGATCCTAAATATTAGCTTATCTTAAGCCTTTAAACCCACTGCCTGTACCATATGCCCTCTTATGAACTCATTTTGGTCTGTGTTCGCCTGGCAACCAAACACCAGTGCAGCCAGGGCCCAGTGGTAATGAAGGGGACGGAGTGGATGTCTGATTTATCTTGTGTCAGCTGATGTTGACACCTCTTTTGCCTGTTCCCGTCTTAACTTGCCCGCTGCTCCTTGGCTGGATGCTGACACACATGAGCTCCACAACAGTGAACCATGCTGGCCCAAATCACGCCATTCAAGAACAGGGGTAATGAAGGTTGCCTCCTGTAACATTGTAAATGTGGCTGCATTTATCATAATCAGTTATTACAAAGATGAGGATGAGTGGTGTGCTGGGTGAGGAACCTTGTGGTTGGCTGTTAAATTGCTTTGCACAAGAGCAGGAAGTGTGGGTCAACATGGTGTTGTTTCAGAATGTGAAAACAGTCAGTTATGCAGTTCAGCTCTTTGACTCAAGTCGTGGCTACACTATGTTTAGAAACAAGGACTCAGAAAAATGTCATAATACATGATTTTATATTGACATAAAAAAATGTCAATAGGAAAATATTAAAGTATTTAATACACTATGTGTATATTAATAGTGATGTTTACTTAGCTCAGAGGAAGTGTCTTTTATTTCTTTGAGATTGACCTTCGGGATGACCCCAAGACCATTGCCAAACTGAATGACATGAAGGAGAAGCCCATAGCCACTGAGCAAGGACAGAAACTGGCGAAGGAGGTTTGTATGGTTGTCTGAGATGGTATAATGATGAGGATGGTGTTTTCATCCAGGCGATAAGAAGAGGATTATAGGAAATACCTATTTTTAAAAGGTAGTTTCTATACCATAAAAAGATATGGTATGTTAATGAGTGCTGGTAGGCAGATTTTATTATGTGGACTAAGTTAAGCTATCTGACTGTAGCTTAATACTTGCCATACAAACCTAATAATAGTATTCATCTTCTAACTAAACTATCTTTAAGCACATTTATTTTCCTAAAAGTCAAATGATTTCTTATCTTTCACTTAATTACCGATGGTCTGCCCTTTTTACTCATCAGATCGGTGCATATTGTTATGTGGAATGTTCAGCTTTGACCCAAAAGGGCCTGAAGACGGTGTTTGACGAGGCCATCATTGCCATCCTAGCTCCCAAGAGAAAGAAAGGAGCTCTGAAGAGAAGACTGGGACCGCGCTGCATCAACTGCTGTCTAATCACGTGATGTATAAAGAGATCAGCAACCAACCATAAACCAAACCTGGAGATAAAAGAAAAGAAGCACAGAGAGCAGATGAGACAAATGAGAAGACTGAACAGAACAAAACAAGAGCTGCTTATAAGCTGCAGTGATCTTGAATGGTCATAACTTTCTCTCCTGCTGTCCAACACTGGGGTTGAGATGCAGTTTACTACCAAAGGAGCACAAAACCCAAGTCAGTCTCTTCTTCTTAAAGACTTTTTGCCTCAGAAGTAGCTTCTTTTATAACCATTTAAATCATTTTTTGTGCAAAATTGTTGTATGCTCTCATATGAAAAAGCAACATGTCATTTCAGTTATAAGAGAAATGCTACATTTAAGGAGATCATGTTATTTCTATGGTTGTTAAAGCTAGGTTATCAAGAGAGAAAGCCTCCAGGTGATAAATAATAAGAGGCTAAGTGACACTGTGACAGTGCCCAGGATAAAGTTCTGGACATAAGGTTTTCTTTTGTAATTTACACCACTTATTTATCTTTTGAGGGCCTGAAAATTAACATATACTGTGAGGGACAACAGATCAACAGAGGAAATGATGTACAGGTGACAGCTTTGGACACAGATTTGTATTATTTGGACCTTTTAATTTTGTGTTTTGCCTTATGAAAGCCCTTCATTTTATAGTATGGCATGCCAAATACTGTAATTTAAGACCATGACTGAGGTCTTTGTCAGGAACGGAGGCATATTATCTATTTAAAAATATATTATCCAGAGTTATTGATTCTCCATCTCTAAAACAGAGATCATCACGCCTGTGAAAATACATTGTCAACTGATAGTTTACCATTTATGCTTTAATTTTTGTGATCCTGCAATAATGTGTTATTCTTTTATCACCTTTAAAAATAAGAAGATGAATCTCATTTTAGAAATGAAACTCTAATTCATATCCAATGTCCAAAAAACATGCGCACATGTAGGCTACTTTCACCAAAATCAGGTGGCTAAGATGATCCAATACTGTATATGTAATGCACAATATGAAGCACAGTCAGCACCACTTCATTTCCCAGCACAACAAAGAACATTCCTCTGCATTTAAACAGTGTCCCTCTGCCAGAGAAGGCTGATTGAAGCACAGAGGATGCACAGTAGTCCATCAGGTACAAATGTGACCATAGCGCACTATCTGGCCATGCGGAAGAACAGGTTGCAGCTTTAAGTCTTTATACATCACTAACTTTAACCAGGCTGCCCCACAGAAAATAAATGTTACAAAAAGTAAAGCTGTTGTTAAATATTTATGCCCAGATGTTTCCAGGTGTAGCTGTTGCATAGCATTAGCAAAGTGAACCTACTAGCTAACATGACCGTCACTGACCTGAAAAAAATGAGCGGCGAGTTAATTTGAACCATTGGAAGATGGTCAGTATATTTGATTACAGCTGAATGACATGAACTGGGATGTTTTTTTGTTTTTTTTTAACTAAACAGCACACCAGTGCCATATACCACAAATGTTATGCTAACAATATTAGCCAGATTAAATGATAAAAATAATGTAAATTAAGTTAGCATAATCATATCCCATTCACTCACTGGCTGTATACTACTTTTTCTGACACATAGTGTATGTTTTTTTATATACTAATACATAGTGATTTTCTGCAAATATTCCATACCACCAATTTACACATCACATAAAGTTTTAACCTGCTGGAACCTAGTTCAATAAACCACTAATCTGAAATTAGCTAGTAGCTACTGAGAACTTAAGAAGGACTTTATAGGACTTTCATACTAAATGGTGACAAATTGATTTATGAATACCAGTACAGTAGCTAGTGCAACCCAGTCTGTAGAAGACAATCTTTCAATATAATTTCAATCTAAATCACTGCCAAATGTGAAGATAGGAGATTCCCACATGACAACCATAAGGGATTCATATAATGTATGGAAATGGCATTAGTCTGACCAAAACCCATGTAATTAATTGATTGATGTAATAAAGTCACATGTGACATTTTCCAAGATTTATAGAATAATTTAAATCTGTGAGCCCCCGAAACAATTTTAAGCAACAAAGATTTCAAGCCCACACCTATCACACTGAAGGTAACAACTTGAGGTTGGAACTGAACTTTTATGCAAGCCAAACATCTAAATGATCTGCTTTTTTTAAATTAAATTTTTAATGTATTGGCATTTTCTAACCTTTTTTAAAAAAAGTTATTAATTTTCTGTTCAGAGTCTGTTCACAGTTGATTAAAGCTTTAATGTAAATGGTGCTCCTCTCTATCCCAGCCTGCGTTGTACTTTAGAGCTGTAGAGTGGATTGCAGGGTGAACAGGCTTGTTTCTTGGACAGTTTTGTTTGCTTACAATGTGTGAAGGTCCACCTTCAGGATACAGGACCTAAGTGCCACAGCAACCAATGCATTCTGCCACTGATGCTTTTTTCTTCTCAATAAATGTGTGTTAATAAGCCTACTTGGAGAGTTTAACTTGGAGAATGTCAGATGTGCTGTGGAATGCATTTGTGAAATTAACCTTTGCAGTGTTTAATCCTGGAACTGAATGCATTCATGTTCATAATGGGTCAGACATTAGTGGGTTGACTTGATAAGCAGGTCAACAGCATTAAATTCTAAGGTGCGTGTGTGAATAAATACATACAAATTCTTTGTCCTTATTTATATACAGATATGCCTGGATGTTCTTTGTTCACAAAGTTGTTTTTTTTTTCATTTCAAGCCTTTTAAAATTAATGACATTTCATCAAATTATGCCTCAGTATGTACAAGGATGAATTATGTTGAACTCTGAAGTATTAGCACCACTTACTGGCTGCTTTTATTACATGCCCCTCACCTTTCTGCTTTTTAATCAGAAATGAAAGGCAACTTCAACATGCACACAATTCCTTTACTCTGCTTCACATAGTTTCCCAACTGAGAGGCACCAGAAACCTATGTTGCTGTTGCGGGTTAAGTAGATTTTTAATGAAGTATCTCAACTATATGTTGGGCCATTTCTGAATTTGAAATGTTCCACACTGAATCATATATTTTGTCTGTCACAGTTATGACTTTTTGTGTTAGAGTAGAAACTAAGCATACATACAAAGTTTGATGTGCAGATTTAAAGCCATCTCAAAGATAATTTACTCCACACCTTTATAGCCTGATCTAATATTGTTTATGAAGGTCCAACGAGATCCTACACTGGTCTGCAACTCTTCTCAGGGGTACCTCATTGATAATCACGATGGCTTCACATTGTAGTCTGGATGATCACCTCTCTACATCTACTGCCAGATCCAAAGACATGCAGATCAAACTAATCATACACTCCTTCTAGAGCACCATGTTCTTAAATAAGGGGTCTGCCCAGCAATTTACCCACTTAACTGTCAGAGTCGGCGCGTAAAGCTGCCGATGATGTCGAGGGTGAACTCAATTATAACGCTAGACGAAGACCAGGTAGAGTTTAGATACTTTACTGGTAACACAAAACAAACAAAACAAAAGTCCAGAATCTACATCCACAGTCAATGCCAGCAAACACACACATCCGAGAGATCCACAATCGCGAGGTCAGAGAGGAGAAATCCGAGGGTCGGTACACAGCAGGCTAACAGACTCAGGGGGGATAAAGCAAAACACGGTGGTCAAAAGCAATCCAGGGTCAGAACAAGTGAATCATGTACGAGAATAATCGCTGGAAAGTCAGAGCTGGGGTCTGGAACAACCTGGCAGCGTCCTGGTGGAAGGACGCTGCCTAAATACGGGTGAAAACAGGTCTAAACAATAGAGTCCTGATTAAAGTAAAAAGTCCGTGACTAAGCTATAGCTAAACAGGAAGTTATGTCAAAACAAAAGCATACAACCGGAAACAGGTGGAACAGGGTCATGACATTAACATACAACTAAAAAGACTTCAGTCACTAAACAAAACAAAGTTAAAGGCAGCAATAGTATCAGTTTTGATGAATTTATATAAATGTCTCACACTGACAAAATATTTAGACTTTACAAGCCCTGGAGAACAAATATACCACCATACAGCATCAAATAGCCAACGGTATAGACTTGTATTGTTCATCAGCATACAATAAAATATCATATTGCATGTAGGCTTAACTTAATGCACAAGTGACAGAAAACAAACCTTGATGTTCATTTTATGAAAAATTGTAACATTCACATTGTGAAATGTACCCGAGGCACCTTTTAGCCATTACTTTAACATCACACTATATTCCAGTGATTATATTTTGATGAATGCCATGCGTCTGTATTACAGAGCTGTGTACCGACAGAAAAGGTATCAGATGAGCACTATCCCCAAACGGAGACAGATGAAACAGCACTGCACTGAAAAATGGGCAGACAGATACATGGGGAGATCTAAACTGGCTCACAAGTGTCCATTTCTATCTGTAGAGCTGCCTGCTGAGAACAAACCTTCTCATTTCCCCAGTATTAGAGAAAGAAATTGCTCTTGGTGGTTAGATTTTTGAAACATTCCCAATGTAGTAGAAATGTACTAACTGACTTCTTGCCTCACACAGTAGGTCAGCAGTGTGAATAGAGCTGTTAAGGCATGCTTGTCAAATATCTATGAAATTGAAGTAATTCATTTAATCCCTGATGTTAAGTTTGGCTTTACATGTTATAGCCAAGGTGATTTGTGTGTCTATTTTAATAAGTAAGATTACAGAGCAGTACAGAGAGCAGGATGGTGATGTACTCAAGCACCCTTCAATCTATGTGAGTTAGACAAAACAGCCAAAAAGAATAAGAAAACAAAAAAAGATTCTTTCAGCTCTGTTTTAAATTACCTTGCCAAAGAAGGGAACCAGATGTTGCTCAGAAAGTGAGAGACACTGATGTCCTTCAGAACCACCACCTCTTCATGGTTTTCATCACAAACTACATTGTTCAAGATGACAAAATGCCAGTTATACATTCTTTTTTACTGGAGAAAATAATGACCAAATATCAAACGTAACAAACGTGTCTTCCAAGAATCCAATATTTTTCTGTAAAATTTGACCAAATGCATAGAGACAAAGACAACAGCCTGTCAGTGTAGTGTCTCTTACTACAGTATACATGCTGAGAAGTCCCTGCATAAAGTTGCATTTACACAATTGTCAATTCATTTATACAAAAAAGTGACTACAAACTTTTATAGCATTAAGCCCTAAAATGTTTATCACTACTGCTTTTTTATCATGCATGCATACTCACCTCGACTTATCTGGTATCATTTTGTAAACTGCATGGCTTTTGTTGTGCATAAAGGTGTGTGTAAAACCCCCTCTGGCTCAGTGTATTCTCCAAGCTGGCTTATGGTATAGTAAGCTTTCTCTATGCAGCTTGGTTTAGTCTGCAGCTTCCTTTGAAGCTTTCTTCTGCTTGCACAAATCATGTGTAGACTCTATTGAAGGCCTTCAGGTTTGTGTTTCTGGTCATTGTTCTTCTGATCCTAAGCAACTGCAGCCTCTCTTGTCTTATTACCATATGTGGTAATAAGAGGGTGGACGGCAAAGTAAGAATTTCATTGTACAGGGAAACACATTTTCATTTTTTTCCATCCTGCTGCCACAAGATGGCAACCATGCCTATGTTACTGCATGAACAGCTCCTACATGCTCTACGTGCAATTCATTCAAAACAAAACTAATTGAATTGAAATAATTTACTTTGCTTTTCAGCTTGTGAGCCTTTTTATTTAGATTTGGACATATAAAAAGTATTCACCCCCTTGGATGTTTTACCATTTTATTGATTTTATAAATCAATCATGGTCAATATAATTTTTTTGACCAAAAAAAAACCCCTCTTTATTGTCAAAGTGAAAACAGGTTTCTACAAAGTAATATCAAATAAATAAAAATATGTAATGTGAAATAAGTGATTACATAAATATTAAACCCCTTTAAAATGACTGACCTAATTCAACAGAGGTCCAGCCAGTTGGTGATAGCAGTCTCACAATTAGTGCAATGGGGATCACCTGAGTGCAGTGAATGTGTCTCAAGTGATTGTAGTATAAAGACACCTGTGTACTGGTTAATCAGTATTTCTGGCTACCATGAAGACAAAAGAACACTCCAAGCAACTTAAAGAAAAGGTTATTGAAAAGTTTAAGTCATGGGGATGGATACACATAAATTTCCAAGGCATTGAACATCCCCCAGAGTTCAATTAAAACCATCATCAAGAAATGGAAGGAATATGGCACATGTCAAAATCTGGCTAGGTCAGGCCATCTTCAAAAACTGAGTGACCATGCAGGAAAGACACTAGTGAGGGAGGCCACAAAGACAACTGTGACTACTCTGAAGAAGTCACAAGCTTCAGCAGCTGAGATGGGAGAGACTGCATACAACAACTGTTGCCTGGGTTCTTCACCAGTCAAACCTTTATGAGAGAGTAGCAAAGAGAAAGCCACTGTTGAAGAAAACTCCTATTAAATATTGACTAGAGTTCGCCAAAAGACGTGGGAGACTCCATGGTCAAGTGGGAAAAGGTTTTTTGGGCCGATGAGACCAAAATGGTGCTTTTTGGCCATCTGACAAGACCCTATGTTTGTCGGACACCAAATGCTACACATCACCGCAAACATACCATCCCTACTGTGA